CGTGCGGTATTTGCCGGGCCTGTTGTATTATTAGCCGAGCCTGTGGTCTTAGCTTACGTGCGTGGCTCTGACGAGCGGTAACGAGTCAGTGGCTCTAGTCTATTGTATTCGAAGATGGAAGTTCCGCCGAGTGTGTAGTCTTAGCTTGCGGGCTCCGCCGAGCGGCAATAAGCATGCGGTATGAACCACAGGGTACTGGCTCGGTTGAGCCTGCGGTATTCGCTTATGGTATTAGTATACGGGCCTTGCTCCGCCGAGCGGTAATCAGTTTGTGGTATTACCAATGTGTATTTGCTTGTCGCATTCGCTTGCGACATCCGCCTGTGATATTAGCCGAGCTTGAGGTATTTGCTCATGGGGCTGGTTCCGCGGAGCGGCGGAGCGGTAAGTAGCTTGTGGCGATAGCTCGCAGCATTCCGGAAACCTCATGATAATATCTTGTGGGGGCGGGGGGGTCGCCTAAGGGCCTGGTTCAACCAACCGCCTACAGTCGGAGGTAAGGGGGTGAGATCGAAGTGGAACGGAGAGCCCCCCTACCGGGAAATCGGTTTCGGTTTCGTGTTCGTGCGTGCCGTGCGTGCGGGCGAGGCGAAGCTGCGTGGGCGGGCGAGAAGAAAGTCTCCTCCGGCTGAGGCGCGGCCGGACCAAATGTTTCTTTTCCGGTGGCCCGTGGGGCGCGGTGTCCCGCCGGTGTCCCGCCTCCAGCTGAGGCGCGGCCAGACCAAATGTTTCTTTTCCAGGGGCCAGTGGGGCGCGGTGTCCCGCCGGTGTCCCGCTGGTGTCCCGTCGGTGTCCCGATGATGATGATGATGATGATGATGATGATGATGATGATGATGATGATGATGATGATGATGGTGATGGTGATGGTGATGGTGATGGTGATGGTGATGGTGATGGTGATGGTGATGGTGATGGTGGTGATGATGGTGATGGTGGTGATGGTGGTGATGGTGGTGATGGTGGTGATGGTGGTGATGATGATAGCGTCCCGATGATGATGATGATGATGATGATGATGATGATGTTGACGATGTTGATGATGATGATGATGGTGATGATGATGGCCGTGGTGGTGATGATGATGGTGTCCCGATGGTGATTATGATGATGCTAATGTTGCTGATGATGATGGTGTCCCGATGATGATGATGATGATGATGATGATGTTGATGTTGATGAGCATGATGATGTTGAAGATGATGAGATGATGAGATGATGATGGTGATGATGTTGATGCTGATAATGATGATGAAGATGATGATGATGGTGTCCCGATGGTGATGATGATGAGGTTGATGATGATGCTGTTGATGATGATGGTGTCCCGATGATGACGATGATGTTCATGATGATGACGATGATGGTGTCCCGATGATGATGATGATGATGATGATGGTGATGCTGATAATGATGATTATGATTAGGTGATGATGATGATGATGATGATGATCTGACGATGGGGGCCCGATGGTGATGATGATGATGGTGTCTTGATGATGATGATGATGGTGATGATGGTGATGATGATGGTGACGATGATGATGGTGCCCCGATGATGGTGATGATGATGATGTTGCGGATGATGATGATGATGATGATGGTGGTGGCCCGATGATGATGTTGATGATGTTGTTCATGATGATGATGAGATGATGATGATGAGGATGATGATGATGATGATGGTGGTGTTCCGATGTTGATGATGATGATGGTGTCCCGATGATGATGATGTTGATGATGATGGTGACGATGATGGTGTCACGATGATGATGATGATGGTGATGTGGTGATGATGATGATGGTGTCCCGATGATGATGATGACGATGATGTTGATGATGATGACGTTGATTGTGAGATCGATTGTGATATCGATAATGATTTAGATAGTGAGATCGGTTGTGAGATCGATAGTCAGATCGATTGTGAGATCGATCGAATGACATAGATCGAGTGAGATCGATTGTGAGATCGATCGAGTGAGATCGATCGAGCGAGACCGATAGTGAGATCGATAGTGAGATCGATAGTGAGACCGATAGAGTGAGACGTTGGTTCCTCCCCCCACCGAACCTCCTTATCACCCCAAGGATGGTCGTATAGGTAATAGCCTGTGGTATTCCGCCGAGTTCGCGGTGTTGGCCTGTGGTGCTGGCCTTCGGGTTTGGCCTCGCCGAGCGGTACGTTTTCTTGTGGTACTCGCCCGTGGTAGTTGCTTTCGCCGCTAGGTTGTGGTATCCGCCTGCGGTATTAATGGCCCATGGGCTTGGCTCCGCGGAGCGGCGGTTAGCTTGTGGTACTAGCCTCTTGGTATTCCTCCAACCCTGTGGCATTAGCCTTTGGGGGAATTTGCCTGAGGGCCTGGTTCCGCGGTTCGGTATCGAGCTTGTGGCAATAGCTTGGAGGATTCCGCCGAGCCAGCGGTATTAGCCCGCGGTCCTGGCACCGCCGAGCGTTCACTCTGTTGTGGCACTCGCACGTGGTATTAGTCTGGGGTGTTCCGCCGAGCTTGTGGTATTGGCCTTCGGGCATGGCTTCGCCGAACGTTCATTAGAGTGCGGTACGAGCCCGCGATATCTGCCTATGGCGCTAGTTGTTGGTATTCGCTTGTGGTATTAGCCGAGCTTGTGGTATTAGCCCACGGGCCTAGTTCTGCGAAGCGGTATTCAGGTTAAGGTGATAGTTTGTGGTAGTCCGCCGAATGTGTTACATTAGCTTGTGTGATTAGTCTACGGGCCTGGCTCCACTGAGCGGTAATCAGCTTGCGGTATTGGTAGTAGCCCGTTGTACTTGTTTGTGCCACTCGCTCATGGTATTCGCTTGTGGTGTCAGCCGAGCCTGCGGCATTAGCCATGGGCCCGGTTCCGCCTAGCGGCAAGCTTGTGGCAGTCCGCCGAGCGTGTGGTATTAAGCTTTTGGTATTCGCCGACGGGCTTGGCTCCGCCAAGCGCATGTGGCATTGGCTCGTGGGCTTAGGCTGTGGTATCGGGCTGGGGGTCAAGGCCGAATCTGTGGTATGGGCCTGTGGGCCTGGCCCCGCCGAGTGGAGACTGGCCTGTGTTGCGAGCCTGCGTTTTTGTTTGCCCGTGGTACCAGCCGAGTCTGTGGTCCTAGCCTGTGGGCGAGCCTCCGCCGAGCGGCGATTGGCTCGTGCTCTGCGCACGTGGTACTCGCTTTGGGTATTCCGCCGAGTTTGTGGTCTTAGCCTGAGGGGCTGGCTCCGCCGAGCGGTCATCAGCCTGTGATATGAGCTACTGGGCATTGGCCGAGCTTGTGACCTTAGTGTGTGGTATTATTCTACGAGTCTGGTTCCGACGAGCGGCAATTAGCTTGTGGTATTAGCCATTGGCACTTGTTTGTGACACTCGGCTGTGGTATTCGCCTGTGGTATTGGCCGAGCTTGTGTGATTAGCCCAAGAGCCTTGTTCCGTGGAATTGTATTTAGCATATGGTAATAGTTTTTGGTATTCTGCCGAGCCTGGGGTATCAGCCTTGCTGGGTATTCGCCTACGGCCCTGGCTCCGCCAAGCGCCTGCGATACTAGCTTGTGGTCTTATTTTAGCGTGTGGTCTTTGTCTGGGGTACGTACTCCGCCGAGTCTGTGCTATCAGCATGCTGGCTTGGCTCCGCCGAGCGGCAACCAGCTTGTGTTATGAGCCTGTGGTGTTAGTTGTGCTATCAACCTGCGGTATGAATCGAGACTGTTGTATTAGCCCCAGGGCATATAGACCCCCATGGGAAGGATTTTGTGGATCGCCCTGCCAGCCACCAGCCTTCTTCTCAGATGGGAACCTGCTCCACCCGAATCTATTCCTTCGGGTGTCAGCCTCGCTTTTTTCTGGACCAAGACTCCTGGGTTTTGCTGTGAGGACGTGTGCACTCACCTCGGAGCTCCATGAATTGTCCAAGAGTCGAAAACGCCTGGCACTTCTTAGGCAAATTATCAGATCTGAACGCTGGCCACTTCCAGAGAGAGACAGGAGCGGCCGTGAGCAGCAACAGAAAGAGCCACTGGAGGCAAGTTCGCAGCTTGCCTTCGAAACTTGAGGCACTTGCTGCGAGAGAACGCAAAAAAAAGAGTATAGAGATGGAGCGGGTGAGGGGGATATACCGAGAGAGATAGAGAGTGAACAACAATCAAAACATCATATAGTAGAAAGTAAAGCATGGAACAGAGCGCGCAGCGCAGTGTGCTGCTATGACAGAACAGAGAGCACCCAGAGTGGAGAGGCGAGGTTGGAGACTAGAATGTGCAGGTGAGTGGAATGCAAGTTTGTACGGGGAGGGTACAGCGCAGAGACTAGATAACAGAGGGTCCAGGGTAGAAAGCAAATGGTAGAGGGTAGAGACCACAGACGCATGCATGTGTCATCCGCTGCTCTCGCCCACCACCAGCGCTACGCATTTACATCTTACTTTCGAACAGTTGCTGGTGGGTTCCTCTGGCATGAAATGTTCAACACCGCGTTCCAACGAGGTTGGTTATCACGACAAGCGCTGACACATCACAGCAAATAATACCGCCGTCGCTTCTGTGAAGCAAAGTAAGGAAATCAGAGCATCAGAGCATGCAAGTATATCTAATCATGTAGGCGTCGCTAATGCAATCAATTTAGGAGCAGCTCGCTGCAACGGTCGTGATGGGATACTTTGTGGAAGCTCTGTCGGGATCACGGCCCGGTCTGGCAAGTGCAACATATTTCCGATAATCGTATGAATGGTCCAGGTCACGTGACGAGCCCACAAATCGTCATAAGCCATCAGCCAACGCAGTTGAACGTCATCCTATCTCCCTTGCACCACCAGACGAATCTCAGTCTTGGTCATCGCGATGACCGATCATGCGAGCTCATAATTTGAGAGAGCTCGCATGGTGCCCACAGCGAATCGCAGATGGCAAAGCGTCAACCTCTAACATGACGTTGAGCGTGTGTAGCCCAGCATGTCCGACAGCATCATCGTCATGCTCATCCTTCAGATGCCCGCGTCGCGGTCAAGGCTCCGGCCGGCTCGCGACAAACCCGCTGTTGGGTCTCGGGGTGAGCTTGCGCAGCCCTCCCCGCAGCTCAGACGGCGGCCCCGCGGCGCTTGCGCTTGAGATGGGCCCAGAAAGGGCCCCCGGTCAAGCCGGGGGCCCCGCAGCCCCGCGGCAGCAAGGCGCGGCGGTGCTACCCGAGATCGCTGCGCTGATGGGCTGGGGAGGGGCCTCCGACCAAGCCTGGGACCCCCCAGCTTCGCCGCGGTCGGGTGCGACGGGGCTGCCCGAGATCGACGCTGCACTGCAGGCGCACGAGGCACGCATAGGCGAGATGCTGTCGGCGCGCTCGGCCGCGAGCTGCCACAGCGAGGGGCGGGACGTCGCCTTCGAGCAGACTTACTGGATGGAGCAGCTGGGCAACTCCTGGCAGCAGCTGATGCGGGAGCTCCGGCAGCACTTCGACGGCGCTCTCCTGCAGGAGCTCCTCAGGAACAGTGAGGAGACCCTCGCGCAGTGCACTGGCGTCCGCTCGGACGTGGAGGCCCGGGCGGGGCTGGGACGAGGACGAATCCGTTCCAGAGCGTTCCGAATCGCTCTCGGAGCGTTACGGGACCCTCTGAGAAGAAGGCCGCGGCGCCCGAGACATCCTCTAGAGCCGCCAGACCTGAGAGATTCTCGACTGCATCCCCACCCGATTTTATCCTCGTCCCCAGACCCCCGGCGTCATGATTTGTTTCATGACGTCGACCCCCAGAGGTCTGGACCCATTCCCCAGGACCAGTTGCTCATCCTGCGCCGTGTGTTGACCATCCCGGGGCCCGGTCAGGGCCCCCCGCGGCCGAACATACAGTCGGGGCCCTGAAGAAGGAACCCTTTTGGTTGGGGAGGGGCTCCGCGTTCCTTAAGTGTTTCACAGCTTGCCTCAGGTTTTCCTTATGTTTTCGATCGGAAATCGAAGTCTAACTTCTGGAAAAAAAGGGGGCCTCGTTCAGTATTTTGGGTTCCTTAGGTCAAGGCCCCGACTGCAGCGAGAAACCTCCCGTCGTGATGTTTTCACAGCGCGAAGGGGTCTGCGTCCCAGCTCCGTCCTCGAGGCGGTGCGGGGCCAGCTGGAGGAGCTGCGGGGGCGCGAGGAGAGGCGGCGGGCGCCGCCGGAGGAGCTCGGGCCGTCCGCGCTCGGGCAGATCGCCGAGGCGCTGCGAGGGGTCGTGCAGGAGCGGAGGGCGTCCAGTACGAGGCCGACGTGGCATCACAGCAGCAATTCGGCCCCTGACTTTCGTCCTGGGTTCGGTTCAGTGAAGTGATGGATTTCGGGGTCCTGACATGGGAAAAAACATCACTTCACTAATCTGGGGCCTCAGTGGGCCTCAGTGGGCCCTGGGGCCCAAAATTAGTGAAGTGATGGTTTTCGGGCCTCGGATCCAAGAGGGAGCCGTCCCAGAGCTGGGGTGGCAAGGCATCAGAAGAGGAGAAAGGTACCCACATACCCCCACCCTTCGCCCGTTTGCCCCTCTTGCGCGCCCTCCAGCTGGATTCGTGCCGAAATGCTTGTGCGAAGGCACCCCGGGGGAGGTCTGGGGAGTAGCGGTCTTGGCACCTCTTGCTTTCCAAATCATGGGCGGAGGCGTATGCGCGACCCGAGGGGCGGCCAGCGGACGTACCTAGACCCCCTCGAGTCATGAAAAAAACACGACGAGAGGTTTTTCGCTATTTTCGGCTCTTGGGGGCCCTTACCGGGCCTCGGGGCCGTCAACAAATTATTCTGGATGAGAAGCCGGTCCCGGGGAATGGGTCGAGCTTTCTGGGGGTCGACATCACGAAGAAATCATGGCTTCGGGGGTCTGGGTACTGAGATAAGGAGATGCGCTACGAAATCTGGGGAGATATCGTTGCCCCAGCCATGATGTCACCCCCCCTTGCAGTCAGCCCGCATAGTGAGGATGGACAACCTTCCCAAGGGTACCCTTGCACATTCTTGCCCCTTCGGCCCATCCTTGGCGACTGTCACTGGCCAGCTTCATTCGAAACGCGTCAACTTGGCCCTCCAAGTCCCTTGCATCCTGACCGCGCATCCTTCTGATACGGGTTCCCAGACCCCCGACGTAATGCTCTTTTCACGACGCGACCCCCAGAGGTCCGGACCTATTCGCCGGGACCGGTGTTTCCTTCTGAGAATCGTTCTGGGACGGCCCCGGGGCCCGGCAAGGGCCCCCAGAGCCCGACGATAGCGAAAGGCTTCCCGTCGTGTGTTTTTCGTGACTCGCGGAGGTCTGGGTTGACTGTGCACAACGTTCATTTCAGATTCTTCGAAAGTGCTTTGATTTTTTTTGGGGGGGGGCCAAGATCCTTTCATGTCTAATCGTTCTATTCTGGGCCTCTTCCTGGCCACTACAGGGGGCCAGAAAAGAAGTTAGAAACGAGCACAATCAGAAACGAGCACGGTCAGAGACGAACGACGTGTAGTCATCACCCCCTCCTGGCCGCCCCCGGAGGAGGAGCTGGTCGCGCAGCGGCGGGCCGTGCAGGAGGGGCAGGGGCCGCTCGTGGCGGCGGGCCTGGACGGGGCGGCCAAGCTGCAGGAGGAGCCGGGGCAGGCCCGCGGCGAGGGGCCGCCGGCGGCGGCCCCGCCCCGCCCAGCCACGAGCAGAGGGCCCGCTCCGCTAAAGCCGCGCGCGCCGGCTGGGGCGCGTGCGCAGGCAGAGGTCGGGCGATGCACAAGTCAGTCCTTCCCTCCTCCTCCCTCCTCCTCCCTCCTCGTCCCTCCTCCCTCCCCCTCCTCCTCCTCCTCCCTCCTCCTCCTCCTCCTCCTCCCTCCTCCTCCTCCTCCTCCTCCTCCTCCTCCTCCTCCCTCCTCCTCCTCCTCCCTCCTCCTCCCCCTCCTCCCTCCTCCCTCCTCCTCCTCCTCCCTCTCCTCCTCCTCCTCCTCCTCCTCCTCCTCCTCCCCTCCTCCTCCTCCTCCTCCTCCTCCTCCTCCTCCTTCCTCCTCCTCTCCTCCTCCTCCTCCTCCTCCTCCTCCCCTCCTCCTCCTCCTCCTCCCTCCCTCCTCCTCCTCCTCCTCCTCCTCCTCCTCCTCCTCCTCCTCCTCCTCCTCCTCCTCCTCCTCCTCCTCACTCCTTCTCCTCCTCCCTCCTCCTCCTCCTCCTCCTCCTCCCTCCTCCTCCTTCCCTCCTTCTCCTCCTCCTCCTCCTCCTCCTCCTCCTCCTCCCCTCCTCCTCCTCCTCCTCCTCCTCCTCCCCTCCTCCTCCTCCTCCTCCTCCTCCTCCTCCTCCTCCTCTCCTCCTCCTCCTCCTCCTCCTCCTCCTCCTCCTCCTCCTCCTCCTCCTCCTCCTCCTCCTCTCCTCCTGCCTCCTCCCCCTCCCTCCCTCCCTCCCTCCCTCCCTCCCTCCCTCCCTCCCCCTCCCCCTCCTCCTCTTCCTACTCCTCCTCCTCCTCCTCCTCCTCCTCCTCCTCCTCCTCCTCCTCCTCCTCCTCCTCCTCCTCTCTCCTCCTCCTCCTCCTCCTCGTCCTCCTCCCCCCCCGTATGGCCAGCGCCTTCGTCAGGTCCGCTTTGTCAGCGACCCTTCGCCCCAGTGACCCTTGGTGCGCCGGTATCGGGGGGCGCCGTGGGGCCGAGCCCAAGCACGCAGGCCGCAGCTGTCGCACCCCCCGCAGCGGCTGGCAAGCCGCGCGCCAAAGGTCTGTCTTGCCCAGTGAAGGTCGCTCTTCCGCGTAGCCAATCAGCCGCGCGCGGAGGGGGGCAGGGGGGAGGGGGAAGGCGTCTTAGCAGCACCCTGCTTCTTGGAAGTCGCGGGCCTTCTCTGTGGGTGTAGGGCCCGCGCCTTGTGAGGAGCAGCCTCCTTCTAAGCACCATTCCTCCCTCCCCTAACCCTCGTCGGCGCGCCGCCAAGAGACCCCCCAGAGGAGTCATGAGGAAATCACGGCGGGAGGATCTCTTACTTTTCAGCCTTTATCGGGGCTCTCGGCGAGCCCAGGGGCGTCAATAAAAACGACTCAGGGCGAAAAACCGGTCCCGGGGAATGGGTCCAGACACCTGGGCGTCGACGTCACGAAAAAACCATGACGTCGGGGGTCTGGGAACGGAGGGGGGGGGGGGGAGAAACGTACACCTTTCGCACCCTTTTTGGGCCCTGCTGGGCCCCTTCTGGGCCCCTTGAGGGCACAAAAGGTGCACCTTTTCTTCACCCACACAGCGGTCTCGACCCAGTCCCCGGGGCCGGTTTCGCACCCCGAGCCGTTCTTCGACGGCCCCGAGGCCAGGCAAGTGCCTCTGGAGATCGAGATATCTTCCTGTCGTGGCTCATGGCTCGAGAGGGTCTGGGCCCTCAGTCGAGCACATGATCACGAGACCTCCTCCCGAAGAGCTGGGCCAGCGTTTCTCAACCAGCTTGCCAGAAAGCTGGCCCGGTTTCTGGAGCACGGTGGAGGAAGCTGGCCCACATTTCTTAGACGATCGATTTCTTGATCAGATTTTCGGCTGATCAGATTTTGATCACATTGATCAGCCTTTTTGATCAGATCTTCTGATCAAAAACTATCGTCTTCTTAGATGTTGATCATATTAGATTTTGATATGAAAGACTATCGTCTTCTTAGACGATAGTCTGTTTGATCAGATTTTCGGCTGTATCGCTTCCCTGGACGGGGCCAGGACGAGGACAAAGCCGTTCCAGAGCGTTCCGGAACGCTCTCAGAGCGTTCCAAAACGCTCTGAGAAGGCCGTGGCGCCCGAGACACCCTCCAGAGCCACCAGATTCCAGAGATTCTCGATTTCTCCTCACCCGAATTGAGCCTCGTCCTGGTTTCGTCTTACGGTGGAAACCCATGCCAAGCAACACCCGACTTGCTTTCAGGGTGCCCTGGGTTTCTTGGGTTCCGATGGTTTTGCGACGCAAGGCGTGACGTTCCCATAACAAAAATCAATGGACGTCCTGGGGTATCAGGGTTGGGTTTCCGTGGAAGGTCTCTTGTGGTCGAGCTCCTACTGTACCTCTCACTACTCCTTCTCCTCCTTCGGCGAGCTCTCTTGGGACTCTCTGTGGCCCTCTGTGGGAGCCCCTTGTGGGGGTCTCGTGGGTGGTGTCGACTCGAGTGGGGGGCGAGTGCGGGCCAGGGGGAGGGGAGGAGGAGGAGGAGGAGGAGGAGGAGGAGGAGGAGGAGGAGGAGGAGGAGGAGGAGGAGGCAGGAGGAGGAGGGAGGAGGAGGAGGAGGAGGAGGAGGAGGAGACCTCTTGGGGCCATCCTGGAGCACCTGCGAGCCAGTCGGGGCCGTCGGAGACGCCCCGAGGGGCCCATGGGGCGGGCTGGCCCGAGGAGCCCACGCGCGCAGCCCGCCCAGGGCGCCACGGCGGGCCTCGCGCGCCGTCGGGCGGTCGCCCGCGGGGGCCCGCGCGGCGCCGAGCGCCCGCAAGAGCCTTTCGAGTCCTGGAAAAACCACGGCGGGATGGCTTTTCGCCATTTTCGGCCCCTCGAGCCCCCCGCCGAGCCCCATCGAGCCCCTCGAGCGGATGGTTTTTCGCGATTTTCGGCCCCATGGGGGCCCTCGCCGTGCCCCGGGGGCCGTCAGAAGGCGACTCGGGATGGGAAGCCGGTCCCTGGGGACGGGTCGAGACCTCTGGAGGTCGACACTGTGAAAAAAGCATGAGGCGTGCGTTCAATCCGAACAGATCGTACAAGCAGCTAGTAGTATATCGTTTCCCGAGCGGTATGGCCAGAAAGCGCCCGCCACGGAGCTTATACCACAAGATTTCTCGGCGCGCACGTCGCCCCAGGGTGGGCGACGCACACATAGCATTAGCATGGTAAGGTGGGAACGCGATGCGGTAGTAGCGTCTTGTCCGCCTGCGTTCGGTCCCCCGCGGCTCCCCAAAAAAGCCGCGCACCGGAGGTCGCTTTTGCCCAGGTTCGCTCCTGCGTGTAGTCGACCCCTGCTGGGCGCCAGCGCGGAGGCGGGCAGTCCCAGCGCTGCTGCCGGCACTGGCGAAGCTCGGGGGAGGAGAAGGTACCGCTGCTGCGACCCTCGCCTTGCTGTCTGCATTTGTGGGCCTCCTGGGAGGCCCTCGTCACCACCGCTGGATTCGCCTCGAAACTGTAGTTAGAACGCACCCGGGGAGAGGTCCAGGGAGTAGCGGTATCGGTACCTTTTGGTTTGCCCAGAAGCCTCTTGACTCGCCTATGGGCCCACCAAAAATAATGTTCTAAGAATTGGTTGTTGCTTGCGCGCAATATTCTTAGAGCATTTGTACCTGAAACAGTATTGGTTTAAGCAGTCCGTGTTGTATGGTAAGTTCATTACGTTGCAGATTTGAACCTTTTTTGTTCTCAGAAAACGTCGTGGTAGGCCTACAGGAATGCCGCCGGGACGGTAGGTCCCTGTTCAAGCCTGATCAATCCCAATACATCCGACGGTGTGATGTTTGCAATCTCCGCGTTGTTCGGCCCATTGGTCCTGCTAGTGGGCCCCAGGGCCTTTTGAAAGGGGCTCAGGGACGCAGAGCTGCCCCCTGGGGAAGCAGGCGGTACCTCGATTGGAAAAGTCACACACGCGAATGTCAAGGTCCCCACTGGGCCATGGTATCTCAGCCCCACCAGTGGCTCAGCCACTGTGTCTCGACATGCGAGACCTGGAGGAGGCGGCGTGTGTCCCCCGCCTGGAGGGGTAAGTCGGAAAGCGCGCCAGTGGGTGCCCCGGTCAGTGAAAAGGGGGGAGTGCTCGCAGAACCCCGCCCCTTTGTGAGGGTTAAAAACAAGGAAAGCGCGCCAGTGGATGGCCCTGCCCTGAATACACAAAAGGGGGGGGGGTCGCAGAACACCCTCCCCCCCCCCCTTCGAAGGGGGGTGAGATTTTCGAACCCCCCCACCCCCTCCCCCCCTTGGCGCTGGAAAAAGGGAGGTTCCAACCCCCCCCGCCCCTTTGCGCCGAACAGGGGGCTGGGGAGGGGGCCTCTCAGGTAGTGAGTAGGGAGTAGAGTGTTTTGAGTAGCGATTGGTGAGTAGTGGATATTTGATAGTGAGTAAGTAGTGCGCAGTGCGTGGTGAGTACTGAGTAGTGGGTAATGGGTAGTGGTAGTAGTGAGTTGCGCGTAGAGATTAGTGGGTAGTGAGTACTGGGTAGTGGGTAGTGAGCAGCGGGATGGACGTAGTGAGTGAGGAATTATGAGTAGGGAGTGGGGAGGAGTGAGTAGAGCATAGTGAGTAGTAAGCAGGCAGTAGGATGAGGGAGTAGACAGTAGCGAATAGCGAGGAGTGAGTAGTGAGTAGTGAGTAGTGAGTAGTGCGCAGTGAGTAGCGAGTAGTGAGTAGTGAATGGTGAGTGGTGAGTAGCGAGTAGCGAGTAGGGAGTAGCGAGTAGGGAGTAGCGAGTAGTGAGTAGTGAGTAGCGAGTAAGGCGTTGCGAGTAGTGAGTAGTGAGGAGGGAGTAGTCAGCAGTCACTAGTGATTAGTGAGTAGAGAGCAGTGCGTAGCGAGTAGGGAGTAGCGAGTAGTGAGTTGTGAGTTGTGAGTAGTGAGTAGGGAGTAGTGAGTAGTGGCTTGGGAATAGGGAGTAGGTAGTAGTGAGTAGTGAGCAGTGGGAGCGTAGTGAGCCGTGAGTAGTGGCCAGTGAATACTGCGTATTGGGTAGCGAGTAGGGCGTGGGAGTAGCGAGTAGTGAGTAGCGAGTAGTGAGCATTGTGTAGCGAGTAGTGGATAGTGAGTTGTGAGCAGTG